AGCAACATTGTTTTAGCTGCTAAAGCAAGTGATGAAATTAATTCAGAAATGCGCTGCAATGATAAAACAATCCAGCTAGTTATTCTTAAAGCAATTAAAAATTCAATTGAACTTTCTAAAGCAATAAAAAACTGTACTGATTTAGCATCACACACACATAGAAGTGTACTCTTTACAACCAAGCTTCAAGATGCTTGTGAATTAAGCCCAAGAAATTGATTGAATGAAACAATCAATTTCTTTGTCAAAGATGCAATCAAAACACTTGCAAAAACCAATGATGAGTTTAAAAGGTCATGTCCCTCAGATGATCAATGGAAGACATTAGAATACAGCATTCCATTTTTTGAAAAAATTTACAATGTTTTAGTAATCTTCTCATCCGATAAAAGATCAACAATCCAAGATGTGATAATTATATTCCAAGAACTACTTTCCCATCAACATCACAAACACAAGCCAAAAAGAACATTTATAAAAATGCTGATTTGTGAACTGCAGGGAAAATATTCTCTTAATGGTGCTGAACAGCTGATTAATTGTTTTGTAAATTTTTTAGACCCACATTACAAAGACCTGCTTTTGGTTAAATATAAAAAATACGATGAAATAAAAGAAGCAATAAAAAGAAAGCAAGAAAAACATAAAAAAGCTTCAACGAATAGCAACAAAACAGACAATGAAAGTGATGAAAATGTTAAAGTTAATCACCACGAACTGTTTAAAGATATTTCAGCGTACAGTACTTCAACAAAGACTAAATTGGGTTTAGAAATTGATCATTATTTAGCAGCCGAAACTGCAGAAGAAACAACAAATATTTTAGAGTAGTGGAAAATAATGAAGTTGCAGTACCCAATTTTAATAAATTATGCACAAAAATATCTTTGTATACCAGCAACTTCTGCAACTTCGGAGAGGGTTTTTTCTATGGCTGGTAACATTGTCACTCTCAGTTTTAAAAATATGTAATTCTAAATTTATTTAGCTTTTAACCAAAACCAAACCGAACCGATCGAAAAAAAATGTAAGCCAAAACAAAAAAAACCGAATCGTTACTTTTGTTTTTAAAACCGAATAGAAAAAAACCAACCGAAAAAAACCTTAACCTGTGGTCTTAAACTGAATGCATAAATTTTATGTTGCTATGCAAAAATTGATGCATAAATCATAGGTTGCTCTCATAGATGAATCTATAACCCTATACATGGAATGATGAGTTTGTATTAAAATGGAAAAGTTCTTAAGCAAAAAATTAATTCTACTGACTTGTCCACATAATATATGAAAAAAATTCAGAGTTTATTTTACAAAAAGTTCTTTAGTGCATCTGTCCAAATTAAAAAATAAAGTTGTTTTTTCAGGTCCTGAAAAAACAACTTTATTTTTATTCAATTTGGCCACCTATTTATATTTATTTTACTGAAGAAAATACTTTCTACTTAATAAAATCTTGCTGCCTCACAATGATTATAAGGAGTTGGCTGAATTGATGCTAATACTTCTTGTTGAGGCATAAAAGAGAAATAAAACCAGAAGCAGAGGAGAAACTCATCGCACTTAATGGATCCATTTTGTATCCTACAAAGATTGAAAATTTTTAGTTATCAAGAAAGATGTAAATAGGACAGGAGAAAATTTAATGTTGAAAAGTGAACATATAATAATCTTGTATTTAATATTTTAATAAATATTAAACACAAGTTGCAAAAAGCAATCAACACTTCTGGTACTTAACTGTAATATGTGTTTTTGAACTTTCTCTTCTGAACAAGCAAATAGTTGCTGAGTTTGAAAACAATTATTGAGAGTTTAAATGGCATGTGAAAGCAACAAATAATCTATCAAAATGTGCTGTATGACTCAAATGAATTATAAAATAGAAACACTATTATGAAATATAAAATAGAAAGACAGTTTTTATGGGAAATTATTGAATATCACCCCAAAGAATTGCTAAACTTTCAAAAGGAGACAATCTACATAATATTATTGTGAAACTTTTACAATAATGATATGTAGTTTGCTGTCAACTCTCTTTTTAATAATCTGTATTGCTAGGGTGTCTGCATTTCTTTTTAATTTTGAGTTCAACTTTTTATGACAGGTGCATTATCATTCAAAAACAGTTATTGTAAAATTTTGGGACAATCAAACATTATTTAGGGGTAGCACATAAATTGGGTAAATAGTAATTTTTGTGACTATTTTTTAAAATTTTTAGAGATTTCACTGTCAGTTTTTCAAAATCCATTCAAGAACTTTTAGTATGTTATTTTTCAAAAAATTATTTTTTTGTACAAAATTCCTTAAAACAATGGTAAAAAGAAAATTATGTTAAGTATTTCTTTTTTCCAATGAGAGGCACTCATTTACATTAGTTCTCAATGATATGAAGTGCGTATTCTAGCTGCTTTAGATCCATGAATTTGTTTTTGAAACCTTGGACCAGCTAGACTCCTTGTTTAGCGACATCATTAACCACTTCTAAAAACTCAATTACTTTTTTCATGTAATATAGACTTTTATCTTTGTTTAATGTTTAACAGGTAGTTGCAACCAATTCACTTAATTAGGTTTTATTTTGAGTATAAAGAGTAGCAAGTTATCTAACTCAATCATGGATACAAAACCAGGAATTTTACTCAGTTCAATTTGTAGAAATATTGGTTTTCCAAGCTTGATTTGTTCTTGATTTCTTTTTATGTTAAATGATTTCAAATCTCATGACAGATTGTTTTATTGTAGGAATATATTCATTAAACAAGTTGAAGACAACTAACTGTTGAGTTAAATACCGAAGATGCCTGTAATGCAACTGAAAAGCAGCATCCACTGCTGTACTGTCAAACTTATGATACTACTGCATGCCAGTGATGCATTGGCAATTGACCTTTGCTGCAATGATAAAAATTTGACTTTGCAAAAAAGCTTTTGCTTTGAACGATGCAAAAAAAACACTTCATTCTCTTAACCTTATAGTGTTGGTCCTGGTCAAGCCAATTAATTAGTTCTTTTTAACATTACATACTTGAAGATATATAGCTCATTGTCCATGAATCTTGCACAATGATAAGCACCAGGTTTCTTAAACAGAAAAATCATTTCATCTTGTAACTAGCAATCAAGTTAAAAAATTACCAGTTCAATAAATTCCCAATAATCTTCTCTTGGAAATGAATTCTTTTGTAGACAACTGCTGGCCCATATCATGACAAGTTTTGCTTGACAATAGATCAGATTATCTTCCTCTGCAGGAAATTCAAACTTAATATCTATTTTTTCATTGGAAGTTGAGTCCCAGTTATCCTGAATCATTTTAAGTAGCGGTTTGATTGGCCCATTATGGTTTTCAAAACTGCTTCCCAGACGTGTTTAATTTGCAACTCAAAAATGTGGTGCTGGCAAGCAACCCACATAAAATTAAACAAAGCAATTTTGCACAAGTATTGCACAAAAATTGTGCAAGCAGCTCATAAAATTGCACAAGCAGCTCATAAAATTGCACAACCAATTTCTTTCTTAATTAAAGCAGCACATCCTTCCAGCAAATATTACAAGTTGTTTTGTCAAAGCAAAAAACAATCTAATCATCAAGCAGCTTTCATAATTCACATTCCATTTTTATGTCACACCAGTAACATTTGGGATTGTAGGAATCCTGAGAATATAGGTATTTCATTATTAAGTCAAACTATCCTCTTGAAAGAGTTTGCTATTTCAAAATGATTAATTGATCTTTCTATGTTACATAAGTAGCATTTGAGATTGTAGGAGTCCTGATAATTTTGGTATTTTATTCTTTAGAATGACAACAACTTTCTTTCCGGTAAAAAATTAAAAAATAAAAATAATTTTCTTAAGATTATTATACTATGTACTAAAGTAATGTCTGAATAATTTTACCGTTAAGCGATGAAACAAGTTTGCTAACGCAGTGATCGCATGGATGAATTGAACAGTTGTATTCATATTTATTTTTATTCAATGAAATTGACTCTCTTGCTCTTTCTTTTGCTGACAATGAAGATTCTATTTTGAAATAGCAGACTTTAACACCAACAACTTTAACTATTTTTGAAATAAGGGCTGTCAATTTTTTTTTTGGTGGCATTAGAAAAAATTAGTCATCTTCTAAGTTTTTGTGTTTTCATCATCCTTGCCAATAATTTTCAAAACTTGTCACTTTCACTGGTAAAAATATCTTGTTTTCTTTTAAATGAAATATCATGAGCTGCTCTCTGCTGTTCCAGACGTTCAGTTAAATCGAGGATTTTTTCTCTCTTTAGTGTAAAATAGTATCTTGACCATGCATGTGGCCAAACTTAAAAGCAAATATAAAAAACTTTACATATTGATTACCTTGAATAAAATAAACCTACATAAATAATTTTGTTTACATGTGGATATCTCCGCTGATTTTGTAAGAACAGCCACTCCTCTTTCCAACTTGAAATTTGAGATAAATATGGTAGTGGTTAAGTGGTAGAGCACTCCCCTCATAAGCAAGAAGTTCTGAGTTTGATCCCCACCATGTTCCTGGTAGTACTGCGCTTAATTAACTTCTCTACACAGCAGCCCTGTTTGTCAAGGTTTGTGTTTCACAGTTATAGAGTTAAGAGAGGGTTGTAACCACAATTTAAGTAGCCTCCCCAACTGTAGTGGTTTTTATCGCCTTAGGGAGAAATTAGCATAATATATATATATATATATATATATATATATATATATATATATATATATATATATATATATATATATATATATATATATATATATATATATATATATATATATATATATATATATATATATATATACATATATATATATATATATATATATATATATATATATATATATATATATATATATATATATATATATATATATATATATATATATATATATATATATACATATATATAATACATAGAGTGATGCATATATTTTACATTGCTATACCTAAATAGGTGCATTGAAAAAAAACAAAAAACTACCTCTTTAGCAGTCACTTTTGCTCTTGAGATGGAATCATCTAAACTTTGTTGAAAATCTGTTTCTAAAACCTGTGTATTAAAAGATGATTTGTAATTATATATAATTCTTTATTTCATTAAAATCAAATATTTGAAACCTAAACTTGTACGTATTTAAAAATTGTTTTGAAACCTTAGTTCCTGAGCTGTCATTAGAAAACCTTCTTCTTCTTAATGTAGTTTCAGTATTAAAGGTTTCATGACCAAGAAAAAGATCATATTCTTCAGGTATATTCCAAGAATCATTTGCATTTTGAAACTCAGGTTCTGAACTCACAGTAGTAATTCTTGATTGGTCAAATATTGGGCCATCCTGAGCTTCAACTGTAGGGGGATTATATTTTTGCCAAACTGGAGGTTTTGCTCGAACTCCAAAACTAATTAAAAAAATCATTATTAAAATAATTATAAGAATTTTAAAAACAGAAAAATTTAAAATAGTTGTATCAGTACCTTGTGCAGTACGTATAATTTTGTGCTTTTTGCAAACATCTTTTGTGACAAACCATAGCACAAACTCGACACTGAAATGCTACTTTACGCCAAACCTAATAATAATCTTTTCTACTTTTAACTATATTCAATGGAAAGCAATGAATATTAATTCCAAAATCTAACCTTTCTTTGGCAATATTCACAGCGAGTAGGGAAATAGAAATCAGTTCCAATAAAATTGTGCTCTTTATGTCTGCAATTAAAAAAATATTTTAAACAAAAAACATATATATATATATATATATATACATATATATATATATATATATATATATATATATATATATATATATATATATATATATATATATATATATATATATATACATATATCAAACGGTTCACAGTGGTCATTTTTGGGGTCAAAATCTGCAGAAAATCCCAAAAGTGTCATGAAAAGATTTTTTTAATTTATGGTATTCATCAAAAAATAGGATAGTTGGAGAGCCATAATATGAGGTTTAAGAGAAATTGAAGTAAAAATAGGTTGGCTATGAGTAGAACAACAGGAGGAAAAAAGTAGTGGAAAATTTACTGAAAAATGACTATTTTTAAAGTGGGTCTTAGAAAATAATTGGTGAAAATTTTCAAATTTTTGTTTAATAATTTTAGTAATACATATAAAAAAATATTAGAAAAGTAAAAAAAAATAATTTAAAAACTATATTGCTATGTATAGTAATGATTTTTTCAAACATCAGAAAAAAAGTGTACTACATGTCAAAAACAGTGCTGCAACTTTTTCCCAACAAATCCCAACAAATTGGGACCAAATCAGGTGAAAAGAGGAAATAAAGACCTTTAAAATGACACATGAAATTGTTGCGGGGAGTTGCGGGAGCTTATTTTATTGACTTTTAAAGTTCGCGCAAGCATGTGTGCGCGTGCGATAGTAATTGTCGGCGAGCGTAAAAATTCGAAATAATAAGCATCTTGCACTTTGGCTTGCGGAGTTTTGATACAATTTGCAACATTGGATATCGCCAAGATGTCAAAAAGTTCTATCTCCATATGAGCCCTGATGAAAAAACACTGGTTGCAAATCGGGAGACACGAGTCAAGCAAGAATTTCGGGAGCAGCTGGGTCTAATTGTTGACCGAGGCGGGATGGAGGTGCTGGCACTACAACAACAGGAAATGTTGCTCGCAAAGCTTTTCAAAACCCAGGTAGCTACACTTGCAAGTTTTGGTACTTTCACCAAACTTTTTGGGAAGCATTCAGAAATAATTTAGTTTTTAGATATTATGTCTTGTCAAGTTGCATGAGCATCACATCATAGCTTTGCTGTCAATTTGGAGAAATTCAAATCTTGATATCTGTATATTCCTACATATTTTCTTTCTTTTTTAGAAATTGTTGCAAGAATCTGTGATGTCCCTGTCAAACTGGTTGAAAATCTTGGAACACTCTGGTCTGCCCTTGCATCTGGATATGCCATTGATCCAGACAAGTTTGGAGTTCTGTGCAAAGAGACTGAGAAGATTTATTTTGACCATGTAAAATGGTACTGGTTGTCCCCAACAATTCACAAGGTTCTGAAACATGGAAAACAAATCATTGAAGCTTGTGTTCTTCCAATTGGAATGACCAATGAGGAACCAGGAGAGGCTAACAACAAATTTCTTCGAAAAATCCGTCTTTATCATGCTCGAAAATCATCCTGGCTCAATGGCATGTCTGACCTTTTCTTGAGACTGATGGACATCAATGATCCAAAGATACAGGTAATTTTGGAATTAAGCATATCCAAAATTTTTCCAATTTCAATAATTTTTCATGCTTATTTAATTTAAATGATTTCTGAAACAGGACCTTTTTTTCATTTGAATTTCCCAATTTAGCTTTGATAGCAATATTTTCTTTCATCCATTAAATGTTATATATAATTTTTAGGTTTATGTCCACTGCAAGAAAAAGAAGCACAACTCAGAGATCTTGCCTGAACCCATCAAGAAACTCTTGAAGATGCCGGAACTTCAAATTTCTAGAGATGCCTCTGATTCAGAAGAAGAATAAAGAAGTCAAACAAAGCAACCAAAGCCTCTCATAAAAATTAAAAAAATTCTCATACATTCCCAATTTTGTTATTTATCTAATGTTATTAGTTTCAACCAGATCAAACAAAATTGATATGCTTAACTCTATGTAAAAAAATATTTTCTTTGATGTAAGCACTTATGTTGTGCCTAATATAACCAACTAGAACCTCATTTGTTTAATTTTTTTTAGCAATACATTTAAAAACTGTCATGATGGGCAGGTTGGTAATCTCCCTGTGGGTATTCCTCATGCTTAAGTAAAAATGTTTTCTGCCATTATCATGTTTGATATGATATTTGTGTGAAATTTCTTCTATTTAATAAATCCATTTTGATCTTTAAGGTAATGAGACACATAATTCATTTTTGCAACCTAGCATTAATTGCAAAGTGTCAAATCTAACTTAAAAAAGTGAATATTTTATTTTTTAAAGCAATTTTTTGGGTTATTTATAATTTTTACTTCAAATATGTTCATACCGGCTCTTTTTGAACACATAAAAAATGTTTTAGATTTTCTGCAGGTTTTGACCCTCAAAATGACCACTGTGCGGTTAGAGGTCGGCAAAAAAAAATCTGACACAAAGGAGTCACCATAAAGCATAGAAATGAGGACCCTAATTCCGAGGGTTGTGTATACATATATATATATATATATATATATATATATATATAATATATATATATATATATATATATATATATATATATATATATATATATATATAAAATAAAAAATAGAACAAATAATAAAGCATTTAAACCCCTTCATTATATTCAAACCCTCACCAAATATTAAAAAACTTTATCAAAATGCTAGAAAGAAATATTTAGAGAAATCAAAAGTCTTGAAAATTCAGAAATCTATAAAAGAATTGCAAATATAAAGAATTGTAGAAAAAAAACAGTGAAAAGCCTTTGATGATGTCAAAGAAACTTCTCTACAAACTCAAAGCATACAATATTAGTGGGTCAAACTATTCCTCCTCATTATCATCAGTCTTGCTAATTGTGCTTTGTATTTATTTAAAAAAATGCATGTAAGTAGAAAAGTGATACTAAAGGTAGAAAAATGATGCATGCAGCTAGAAAAGACATTCTTGAATTCAACACTCTAAAAGCAAAAAAGAAAAGCAGAGATCTAATACAACAACAACAATAATAAATTGCCTAAAAAATTTCTTTACTTCAAAATTAACTGCTTCCTCCACTAACGAATATTGACCAAAGCTACAATACCCACATTTAATTTTTTTACAAGCATGTCATAAATGAAAATTCAAAAATATATTCCGAAAATTTAAAAATAAAAGAGTATAACAATAAAAATAGTGTTTATAATAATAAAAATAGCTTATAATTAAAAAAGAAATTAAATTCAACATTGTATTGAAATTTGACATTTTAACATACTCAAAAAATTGATTAAATATCTTGCAATATAATGAGAGATCTTGCTTTTCTTTTTCTTCTTTTTCCTCAAAAATTTCAACCAAAATAAATCTTCAAATGTTTATGACAAAAACAAGTTGATATTTTTCTACATTGTTAGGTTCATGTAAAAGTCAATAAAGCATACAATAAAATGTCTTCAACCTAATAGAAATTTTTTTTTTGTTAATTTGTAACTTTAGATAAACTTTAAATATCAGAACCATTGTTATCAATTTGCCTATGAGCTTAGAATAAAATTGCATGGTCATTTTGATCATAATAAAAAAGCAACTTGTTATTATATCTATAATTTTCTGTTAAATATTGTTTCACATTTTCAGTTTTTTGACATTTTAACATTTTTCTGATTGAATTTTACTTACACATATAAGTTACACATTATTTTTTTTACAACACACTTTTTGTTTTGTTTTGTTTTGTTATTTTAGGTAACCCCAAGACAACCTAACAGTCACAGAGCACCGTGGAAGTGCATTTAACCACGAAGTTCACGCCTCCTTCCTTACCGTGACGAGAAAAAATGTCCAGAGCTCGTTTCAAACATGGATCTCCTGCTTATAAAGCAGGCACTCTAACCACTGCGCCACGGCTGCACAAGAATGTACTGCTTATAAAACATCCTTAAAATTTAAGAATGTTGTTAATAAATGTTAAAAAGTACCGCTGAACAGAATTTTGGAAGAAAGTTTTTTTGTTGCTTCAACTGTTTTTATTTTAAAAACTTGTAATCTTTTTTTATACTTTCTTATCTATTTATTTGAGTTATTTATATTAAATTATTGCTTTATTTAAAGTGGGAATCTTTTTTTGTGTTGTTTATGGAAGTATACATTCAAAAATTTATTGAGTAAAATAAAGAAGGCTGTTATTTTTTATATTCAACTTTTTCTTGTTTTACTTAGTAAATTATATTATGTTCTAGGTCATCTATGACTTTCAAAGCTGCGTTATTAATACAATGTTTTAAGTATTTTTTGACATTTCTTCCAATTTAATTTACTTGCTGGCTAAAAATTTTTTATAGCTGTTTAGTTTATTAAAACAAGTTTTTATAAATGTATATTTGTCTGTGAAATGAAAGTGTATATTTTGCTTTAAAAACTTATTTATATATGTGTGTCATAATTGCTTTAAAATTGAAATCATATAATGCGATATAGTTGATATAGTATAGTTTTATATATAATTGAAACTCAATTGATGCTATTTTTATGTTTATATTATCATGCTGATAATATTTTTTTAAGCACTAAGTATGCAGAAAAGACCAAAAAAATTATTAAGCATCTTTCCTCACCCCCCACCCCCCATCCTCTGTTTATTATTAGAAGTTTATGATAAGAAGTTTTAAACTATTGAAAAGTTAACTGTTAACCCAAACCAAAAATTTTTACATCAATTGTTTTTCTAGTGTTTACAAAAATTCATTGAAGCAATGAGAAATAAAGAATAGGTATAGAAATGGCTGGTGTGGAACACTAACTATTGGTTACCTGGACCTGTATAACTGTTGGAGTTATAAAGGTCTGTACGATCAATATTTATTATCATTAAAAGTATAAAACATAACAACAAATAAAAAATTTAAATCTTACATAATGCCATTAGAATCTTTATCATCAACCTTTGTGAATCCCACCTAAAAATACAACCATTAAATATCTTCATCTTGATTAAATTTAATGATAAAGTTTTATTTACAATATAAATTATTTTTATTTACTCAAAATATAATTTATTACATATCAAAAATACCTTCTTGTTGTCCTCTTCAACCTGCTTGGCTTCAAGATTTTTCAAGTCATTTTCTGGAACCAATGAAACATATTTATATGCTAAAGTTATATCTCCATTGCACTGATTATGATTCAAACCAGGCATCATAACACGAAGATATGAACGACTGTAAATATTCAAACAAAATTTTAATTGTTGTATTATTAATTTTATTGCATTCAATAATTATTTTTTTTGGCATCAAATCTTTTTTGCATTCATTCAAAACTTTCCAAATAGTATTATACTGTAATATAAACAATATATAAACAAAAACTAAAGACCTGATTGCTGAACGACTTTCAGTGACTGCAAGAAGAAATGTCTGGATACTTTTTCTAGATTTAGTTGATAAGCATTCTAATGACAAGTCCATTAATGGAATTGAAACCTAAACCATAAGAAACAAAAAAAAACTTAAAACATAAAAACAAAAACAAAACATAAAAAAAGTTTATTGAGAAAGGTATTATGAAAATCCAGAAAATATTTTGTATCCAGAATTTATTTTCCTTATATTTGACCTTATATTTAGCTAATTTAGGACAAATATAATGAACATAAATTTCAGATGTTTCTCAGACTTTTTATTGCAGAATGTTTTACTGATTTTCATTAGATTAAAGCTAATTAGCATAAAAATTGAGAAATTCATTAGAAAATCTAATGATTTTCTCAATTTTTGAGAAAACCATCAGATTAAAGAAAATTCCTTCTTGTTTGGGTAAATACAGAAAATATATAAAAATAAATTGAAAAAATAAATATCTAAATTTATATTTACAGAAAACTTTTTGGAAATATGAAAATTTAAAGTTAAAAGAAATATTTGCAGTTTTGACAATATCCTGAAAAAGATAATCCCCTAAGAACAAAAAAGGTTCTTACAAAACACAAAAGTCTTTTTAAAACACACTAATAAAATTTTTTTTTATTATACAATAAAATTTTAAAGATAGGAATTTTAAAACCTACTGTCAAAATGTAACAAAAATATTCATTCAAAGCACAGCAACAAATGCCTTTTGGAAGCAACAAAAGCCTTTTGGATCAAAAAGTGTTTTCTTCTTTTCAAATTACAATCACAGAATTAAAAATATATTGACTAATTAAATACTTACTTTTGTAACATTTTTAAAAATGTTTAATTCTGTACATAATAATTCTCTTGAATAATACATAAATCATGTTCATATATATTCTATATAATAAACTTACATATCCTAATAGCAGATCTTTATCAAAAGCATCTTCACATTTCCCCCATACACAAATGTTTAGAAATTTGTGTTCTCTCTCAACATCAAATGAAAAGATTTCATTCCAAACAGGTTCCTATAACACCAACAATTTAAATACAATCTACAAAAAAATTATATATATATATATATATATATATATATATATATATATACATATATATATATATATATATATATATATATATATATATATATATATATATATATATATATATATATATATATATATATATATATATATATATATATATATATATATATATATATATAGGGGTCGAAATAAGTGCCGGACATCGCCGCCCCTCAGACCATTTTTGAGACCTGCTAGATGAGGGCAACAAACCATTGTTCATTTTTGCAGTAAAAATGAACAATGGTTGGTTGCCCTCATATAGCAGGTCTCAAAAATGATCTGAGGGGTGGCGATGTCCGGCACTTATTTCGACCCCTGTGTATATATATATATATATATATATATATATATATATATATATATATATATATATATATATATATATATATATATATATATATATTTATTCATATACATATATATACACATGCATCAGTCCTTGGAAATATGAAAAAAAAGGCTGGCAAAAAATTTCTGACCTTAAACTGTTTTAGATCGGCATCAGGTTGTCATAAAATTTAGAAACAGAGTTTGACAACTCAATGAACAGCAAACATTTAGCATAGAGAGAAAAACAAATTCTTTTTCTCTCAGTTTTACAATTGAAAAACTTTTAAATGTCGCCATTTAAAAAATTAAAAAAAAATAAACACAGCATTTTACCAATTTATTAGGAATTTAAATGAAACTTAGTTTTGCAGATTCTATTTTAATTATTTTATTCAGAATTAATAGAGTGTTTATTTTTTCAATTTTACTTTAAATAAAACATTTGGTTTCCTGTTTTTATTTTAATTGTTTTATTAAGGAATTGAATAAAACATAAGTTTTTCTGTTTGTTTGTTTTTTGTATTCATTTAGAACTTAATAGACACTCATTTTAATAGAAACACTCATTTTAATAGAAACACCCATTTTAATAGAAACACTCATTTTAATAGAAACACTCATTTTAATAGAAACACTCATTATAATAGAAACACTCATTTTAATAGAAACACTCATTTTAATAGAAACACTCATTTTAATAGAAACACTCATTTTAATAGAAACACTCATTTTAATAGAAACACTCATTTTAATAGAAACACTCATTTTAATAGAAACACTCATTTTAATAGAAACACTCATTTTAATAGAAATACTCATTTTAATAAAAACACTCATTTTAATAGAAACACTCATTTTAATAGAAACACTCATTTTAATAGAAACACACATTTTAATAGAAACACTCATTTTAATAAAAACACACATTTTAATAGAAACACTCATTTTACCATCTTTATCTTAATTATTCAATTTAAAATTTGATTAAATTTTACTTTAATTATATAATTTAGAATTAAATTATTTTATTTAAACTAAATTTTAAATAAAATAATTAAAGTAAAAACAAATTTATTTTAAAATACATAAAAATAAACGTTTTATTTAATTAAATAAAACTTTGTTTTGCTGTTTTAATTTTAATTATTCTACTTAGAATTAAAATAAAACTTTTGATTTGCTGTTGCTATTCTAACTATTTTATCCAAGAGTTAGTTTTTTCATTTTTATTTTAATGACTTTATTTAGAATTTAATTACAACAGTTGTTTTGCTGTTTTTATTTTAAATATTTTATTTAAAACTTAAATAAAGCAGTTGTTCTGCTGTTTTTGATTTATTAAAAATAGTAAATAAAATTAAGTTTTTAAATTCCTCATACACTGTCAGGTCGGCAGTTAGGCCAGCATTGCCGAATGTCAACCCTAATTCCAAGGGCTATGTATACATATATATATATATATATATATATATATATATATATATATATATATATATATATATATATATATATATATATACATAGTCTTGCATGGTAGTCACGAAGTTTTTCCCATAAACTGTTTTTTTAAAGAGCGCGTTAATAAACCTGACCATAAAATGTTGAAAAACTTCAAAAAAAACTGCCTTCCCAAACCAAACCCTCAGTCAATGTAGCAGCACTCCCATGCGAGTCAGGCTATTTGTCAATCGATGAAGCAGCACTCCCTTGCGAGTCAGGCTATAAGATAGTCGATGTAGCAACACTCCCTTGTAGCAGCAGGCTATAAGGTAGTCGATGTAGCAACACTTACGCATGTTTTAAAAATGTTTTTTAATAAAACAAAAACAAAAACACCACTAATTAAAAAAAACTTTCTAGTCATTATTATTGCGGGTTTTTTAAATAACAATAAAATTTAATGTACTTCCGCATTAATTTAATTGCTTTGATATTTCGATGACAATAAAATGCAGCTTAAGAGACAAGGTAAAAAAATTGTAGTTGAAAGAGACTTTTTTTTACGATAAAAGTCTCTTTCGACTACACTATAAGGATATATATATACATACATACATACATACATACATATATATATATATATATATATATATATATATATATATATATATATATATATATATATATATATATATATATATATATAAGTAGACTTTAAAATGGAGGACAGCATTCATCCAATATAAACTTTATCAAAAAGTGTTATGTAAAATTGAAAGCAGAAGTTTCTTAACAAAACCCAACCTCATTAGCAGATCTGAAAAAACCATAATGACAAAATAATTGTGTATGTGTGTGTGTGCTTATATATATAAAAGATATATATATATATATATATATATATATATATATATATATATATATATATATATATATATATATATACATGTTTTATATGAAAGATATATTTATTTTAAATTATGTTTTTTATTAGATTAAAGATATATATTTTCTCAAAAGTAAACCTGGTTAGCACTGGCAATAGATGTTCTTTGGCCAGTAGGTTCTTTATCATCTTCAGTTTGAGTAAATTCATTTTCAACTTTAATGTCAGCAGTTTGCTGTGAAATATTATCCCAATCTTTAGAGCACTTAGTTTCCATTTTATCATCTGGTTCAGAAAACTTACTTAACTTTGTATCTGAAGATGTATAAGTCTCATCCCCTTGTTCTTTATTAGAACTTCTTGAATCAGCACTAAATGATGAATGATCCGAAGTTTCACAGCTATCTGATTCAATAACTGGTTCTAGTTTTAAAGCTTTTTTCTTGAAACTATTTTTTAAAGAAAACCGTCTCTTTTTTTTTATGGCAGATGTTTTGAATTCACTTGATCCAGGACTAGAAGAGCTTTTAGAATTTTTATCAGATGTTTTCGTGACTAAATTTACTTTATCTGGTAAAGTATCTTCTTTGCTTTCAACATTCAAAGAATCTTTAATATCCATTGAACTATGTCTTAAAAGTTTTACTTCATTAATAAACTTCTTAGTTGCTTCATCAGCAAACAATTCCTTTTCTATTTCATGAACAACAATGTTAACAAACTCTTCAGTTTCGCTATCTTCATCATGTAAAAGTATGCTGTTAAAATCAAACCCGTCCTTAGCCTTGACTTGAGTATTAATATTATCCTCTTGATCTTTAGTTTCTTCAACTTTAGGTTTTGCTGTTAATGCATCTGTATTTTTTTTTGTAGGGGGACGTTGAAGTTTTAAAGTAAACCTGAAAATACAACATGTTGCAATAAATATACAAATTGAGAGCCATATAACATTATAATCATATAATATAAATATCTTAAGTAAAATACAGGACTAAAACTTAACTAACATAAAAAAATATAAATAGAACTTTACAAAACAAATATATTAGGGACTGAAGGTGAAAAAGAATAAAAATAAAAAAAAAGAAGTTGCTTTCACAATTTTCACCAAATTCCATGAACCTTTTAATTTAAGTTTCTGTTTCCACCAATTATAAATAATAAGCACCTGAAACTTTTTTTATTAAACAATTTTTTTATAATAATTTGTCATTTTAAGTTGAAGCTATCTTTTTATTTTAAGTTGAAGCTATCTTTTTATTTTAAGTTGAAGCTATCTTTTTATTTTAAGTTGAAGCTATCTTTTTATTTTAAGTTGAAGCTATCTTTTTATTTTAAGTTGAAGCTATCTTTTTATTTTAAGTTGAAGCTATCTTTTTATTTTAAGTTGAAGCTATCTTTTTATTTTAAGTTGAAGCTATCTTTTTATTTTAAGTTGAAGCTATCTTTTTATTTTAAGTTGAAGCTATCTTTTTATTTTAAGTTGAAGCTGTCTTTTTATTTTAAGTTGAAGCTATCTTTTTATTTTAAGTTGAAGCTATCTTTTTATTTTAAGTTGAAGCTATCTTTTTATTTGAATAACAATCTTTTAAAATAAAACTGTGTTTTAAAATAAAACTGTGTTTTTAAAATAAAACTGTGTTTTTAAAATAAAACTGTGTTTTTAAAATAAAACTGTGTTTTTAAAATAAAACTGTGTTTTTAAAATAAAACTGTGTTTTAAAATAAAACTGTGTTTTTAAAATAAAACTGTGTTTTAAAATAAAACTGTGTTTTTAAAATAAAACTGTGTTTTTAAAATAAAACTGTGTTTCAAAATAAAACTGTGTTTTAAAATAAAACTGTGTTTTAAAATAAAACTGTTAGTCATGCTGTTAGTCATGTTGTTGCAATAGGGAGGTTAATAAAAAAAATTATTAAAAAATATTTTTTCTAAAGCTCTGAACCCTTTAATGTAAAAAACTGTAAAAAAATAAGACACTAACAAAAAGTCAGCTAAAAAAAGTTTTTTTTAGGGATACCTCAAGACCTTTGCTGAATACTTTTGTTTAAAAGTGTTTTAAATTGTACATACACCTAAACCAATTTCGGTTAAGCTTTGTATCATTTTTTAATATTTAAATTAGATTAAAGATATCTTTTCAGCAATAAAATAAGTAATCAATGATATAAAAACCACTTAAACATTTGAATGACAATGTATGTAAAAAAAAATTGTTAAAAAATTTGAATGACATTTTTTTTTAATATAAGTCCTATTCACAAATAATACAAATAATACAAATAAATTCAGACAAAAATAAAAATAAAATTTTACTTCTATTTCTATTTTATTTTACCATATTACTAACTGTTGTTCAATAATTAAATTTTTTGTTTCTTAAAAAAAAATAAGCTTATTTTTATTTCAATTTTTTTTTTTTTTGGTTTTCCTTCCTCCTTTTCATTTTTTTTCACTAAAAACTAAATTCCATGTAAAAATGTTCCAAGGATATAAGCATATAGTTGTGTCATCAGCAAATACTTTAGATTATCAGAAAGAACCTTAATATAGATGAAGAGCAGCACAATTCTTTGTGATACCCCAGAAATAAATGGAAATTTAAAAAAGTGTTATCTGTTAGAAAATTTAGAAAGAATTGAGTCAACAATTTGAAAAAATTTCCAGATAACCATAAAAAGTGAGCTTATGGGGAAAACCAGCATGCTAGACTTTATAGAAAGCCTTTGGTATGTAAAAAGTATTACTTCATTACTTTCATACAATGCACAACAGAACATTTCTATTATAACAACAAAACCTATCTATTATATTCTATGTTAATAAACCAGCATTAAATTGACTATTAAAGAGTAAGTTGTCTCAAGATGAAATATTAGAAGTTTGTAAACTAAAGAGTAAGTTGTCTCAAGATGAAATATTAGAAGTTTGTAAACTAAAGAGTAAGTTGTCTCAAGATGAAATATTAGAAGTTTGTAAACTAAAAAGTAAGTTGTCTCAAGATGAAATATTAGAAGTTTGTAAACTAAAGAGTAAGTTGTCTCAAGATGAAATATTAGAAGTTTGTAAACTAAAGAGTAAGTTGTCTAAAGATGAAATATTAGAAGTTTGTAAACTAAAGAGTAAGTTGTCTAAAGATGAAATATTAGAAGTTTGTAAAGATTCAAAGATTTAACAATAGTATGAAGACTAATTGAGTGATAATGGAATCCAAGCCTCTAAAGTATTTTTCAAAACTAAAAACACTCTTGCCATTTTCCGCAAGCAGGAAAATAAAATTTAGTAATGTTTAATGAAAAATAAGTTTAGCAATAGAAACAAGAAAGATTTGATTGGTCATCCCAAAAAAACAAGTTAACCACTAGCCTAACAATGGATTAACGCGTCACTTTAGAATGACAGAAAGAATGTGGTTAGATCTTGCAACTGCACACAAAAAAAAAAAATCAAAGGGTAGAGGTTTGACTTAAAACTAAATAAGAAGAATAAAAGCTTCCATTCATGCCTTAATCCAAAAGTTTATATAGAAGACACAATTTTTAGCTGAGAGACAAAAGACATCAATCCAAGAACCAAAAAAAAAAAAAAAAAAAAAAAAGGAATGAACATCAGTCAGCCTTTAGGTAGTAGAAAGAAGAAAGGGTAAAACTGAAGAAATGAGATGATAGGGTGAAGCCGAAAAAGTATATGATAGGGCGAACCTGAAGGAGAAGAAGTACAAGATACAGTACAAAGGTTTAGTAAGATCTTAGCACGATCTGAAGTACCTTTTATTAGAATCTTGGCAAATTAAAGGATAACAACAACAAAAAGTTACAAAGAGAAAGCAACAAAGAGAAAGTAACAAAGAGAAAGTAACAAAGAGAAAGTAACAAAGAGAAAGTAACAATTAGAAAGTAACAAAGAGGAAGTAACAAAGAAAAAGTTCAAAGAGAAAGTAGGTCTGGTAAATTTTGAAAAAGATAATTTCAATGAATAAATAGTTATTCAGAAGACCACAAATAATTGTAAAAGATAGACGCTAACAACAGACTTTTTCAAAATTTCTTAAACAAAGTTGTATTTAATCAATCTAAAAACAAATATGAACAAGCACTAATAAATAGCAGATACAAAAACAATATTAACATGGTCTATTCTAAAGTCTGTACACCCCTAATCAAATATTTCCAAAAGGTGCCCACTACGTCTATATGAGAAATTTGTTACAATATTGTATCCAAAACCGGAGGAGCTGTTAAATAAAAAAACCAAAATAATATCAAAGTGCTACCACGAAAATAAATTCTTATTAAAAAGTAACAGAACTTGCTACAAACCTAACTAACAACTAACAATAACTATAATACTCTACTTTATATATATTTAGGCTAACTAATAAATTACTCACATACACTGCTGTAACATATTTCAGAATATTATTTATATTTTTATTTTTATTTCATATTTTTCAATATAATTTTTATAAATAATGCACATTATCACATAAACGAATACTAAAACAAGCATTAAAACATAAAACAATTTACAACTATTAACGAACTAAAAACAACTACTAAAAAATTACCTGTTTACGATCTAAAAAAAATAAATAAACTGTAACATCTACTAAACAAATCGTAGTAAAATTAAATTTTTACTCTTGCCTGAAGATTGTGGTAACACATGAAACTCAGAGTTGTGATATTATATTATAAACATTAGCATTTTATTTTTAACATTAATTCACCTTCCCAAAGCCTACAGACAAAGAGGCTACTTAATTGTGGTAATAACCCTCTCTCAACTTTATAATTCTAAAGCACGAACCTTGACAAATAAGGCAGCTGCATGGAGAAAAGAGTTGAGCGCAGTACTACCAGGGGCGTGGTGAGGATCCAGTTTTAGCATTATCAGGAAATAGCATTTAGCTAATTCCTGGTACTGCAGGTAACAGTAACATATATATGCTCTTGTTTATCTATTGAGCACTTTTTTAAATATACAATACATGATAATATAAAGATACTTTCTTTATTCACATATATACACTTATGTATATATACATATATATATATATATATATATATATATATATATATATATATATATATATATATATATATATATATATATATATATATATATATATATATATATACATATATATATATATATATATATATATGTATATATATATATATATATATATATATATATATATATATATATATATATATATATATATATATATATACGTCTTCCTGTCTTTCACAGGAAGACGTGCAACCGCATGTCTTAATATGACCAGACAAATTACATTTTGCTTTGATGATTTGGCAGCGGCTATTTCAAAAAATATTTTAAAAACACCCTGAATGAAAAATATTCTGAATTATACCTTAAGTGAAATAAATTACACCAAAACTTTTAACAAATGTTTTCATATTAGGGAAACGCTTTTAAATAAAGTAACAATTTACTGATAATAGTTTTTTTTAAAAGTATAATTGATTGTTGTATATATTTTTTAAATTTATAATATATAAATTGTTTAAGTGTTCACTTTTTATAATAAAGGTTATCAAAAAATAAAAAACTGTTTTTTTTTTATAAACGATGACATTCTATGACAACGAAAGTCTCTTTAATGAATTTTAGCATAAGAATAATTAAAGTTAATACATTTGAAAAGATAAACTAAATATCGTTGAAAAAAGCCTTTGCAATTAAATAAGTTTGATCTTAAATGATTTTATATTATCAAAATGCTTTTTAAAGAAGTAACAAAACACTTCTAATGAATTATAATAAGTATTAATAAACTGTTGCTTTTTTTCTACTTATATAATTATGTATTTTTTATGAAAAATGTTTATCTTTTGAAACATATTAAAAAACAAAAAACAAAGTACAAATGTTAAAACAAAGAATGAAATGGTTTTTTAATTCGTAAATGAAATAGACTAAGCATTTTAATTTGATGAGTTTTGTTTTAGTTGCGTTATATATATATATATATATATATATATATATATATATATATATATATATATATATATATATATATATATATATATATGTTTGTATTTTTGCTTTAATTAAGTATTTTCGTTATTTTCTCTTTGGTTAATTTTTTTTTTTTTCTTTTTTAAAGTTTCTTTTTAGATAAGTTTAAGTAAGTTTTCGTAGCGCATTTTCAAATTTTGAAAATATGTCAAATCATTAAAATGAATTATTTTTTGCGTGGTCATATAATTGCGTGCGATCGCACGTCTTATTGTGAAACACTGATATATATATATATATGTATATATATATATATATATATATATATATATATATATATATATATATATATATATATATATATATATATATATATATATATATATATATATATATATATATACATATATATATATACATATATATACATATATATATACACTTACTAAAGCGTATTTTTATAAGCATTTGTTCACTTTTTTTGCTTACCTTAATCCATACCATTTTTTCAGAAAAAGAAGAAAAAAAACGAAGAATAATGAATGAAACGACTGCTGCCCCATCCCAAACCCTCAGTCGATGTAGCAGCACTCCGCTGCGAGTCAGGCTACTTGTCAGTCAATGTATGTACTGAAACCCCCAGCAGCAGACTATTTCAGTATGACGTCAGATTGCTTACCTTAGTACGCAATACTATTTGTATATACATATACAAATGTGGTAGTGGTGTAGTGGTAGAGCGCTCGCTTCATAAACAAGTGGTTCTGAATTCGATCCCCACCACGTCCTTGGTAGTAACGTGCTCAACTCGTTTCTCCGCACAGTGGCCTTGTTAGTCAAGGTTTGTGTTTTGGAGTTATAGAGTTGAGAGAGAGAGAGTTATAACCACAAATAATAAGTAGCCTCCTTATCTGTAGTGGCCTTCTCGGCCTTGAGGAGGTGAATTATATATATATATATATATAATATATATATATATATATATATATATATATATATATATATATATATATATGTATATAAATATATATACAATATAATAAAAATTTCAATTATAATATTATTCAAAAAATTTTTTTGTGTAAAACAATTTCAATAAATACTTGTTTCCAGCATTTTTTATGAGTCGTACAGCTTGTTTCATAGTAACAACATCAACATTATTGACACTTATCAAAATGTCACCTATTTGTACATCAACATGACTGGCTGGTGAGTTTGGAGTAACAGTTTTGATTAAAACACTTTCAATTTTTTCATCATCTAATGTTTCAACCTCTTGAAAAAAGCTTATTCCAATCACACCTGATGGTGCTCTGCATATTAAAACCTAAAAACATTTATTTGTATTTGAGATAATAATTTATTAAGAACAGTGTAATAATAAAAAAACTGTTTCTGACAAAGAAAAACAGATAGTAAGAACCAGTCCCAAAAGAACTCCTGCTTCAAATCTCTATTTTTCTTGTTCTCAGGTTTCCAGGAGCTCAAAAACGTTATTAGACTTATGACCTGCAATAAGAAAAAAAATCATAAGATTTTATGACTTGTACTTATTGTTTTTTAGTCTGAAGCCCCAAATTCCTGGACTCCTTACGGTCAATTATACATAAGAACTCCAGGTTTAAAAATTTGTTTTTCCTCCAACCTAAAAGTCTTTTTTATTCACTCAAAGTAATCTATAAACCTTTTTAGATTTTTTGAGCTTAAACAGCTTAACTGAAAACCAATAAGAAATAATCTTTTTGTGATTTTTAAATCAGGAGTCTTTTTTGAGACTCCACATCCCTGGTAAAACATATGGTAAAAGTTCAACATTATCGATTTATTATTTTAAATATATTTACAGAAACAATAAACTTGTGTTTGTTTGTAAAACAAATCAAGATTTTTAAAATTAAGGTTTACAAGTTTTATACATTAAATTCATATATATCAAAATTATATATTAAATTCATATAAATTAAAAATTAAACATTTAAAACAAAGCCTATTTTAAAAATATATGTATAAAAAAGAAAAAAGTTTTGAAAATTTTTAAAAATTTAGGAAAGTTCGCTTGAAATTTTCAAAAATTTTGAAAAAAAAAAATCTTGTTTCACTTATTTCTCTCCTATATAATAAAAAAAAAAAGAACACAAAAAACTACGCACCTAATCCTCTATTAGTAATTAGATAATTTTCATTTTTTGCAAAAACATAATTATAATAATGTATAAAAAAATAACTCTTAATGCTTATTTGTTGTCTTGTTGTTTATAGTTGTATTGTTATTTTTTTTTGGTATCACTATAATTGTTATTGTTATTACTAAAATTATACTTGTTTTTGAAATTACCTTTTTATTATTATTGTTGCTTAACATCATTAGCAAAGAAAAGTTTTAGTTTCGAAAATTAGTTGAGAAGAGTTTGTCACAATTACAAATAGTGAATACCTTAGTATTTTAAAAATTTATTTTAGAAATGTATTGATTGATTGATATCATTTAGAATTGTACTGATTGGTTGACATACTTCATTAAAAAAAGTAAAAAATTGTAATAAAAAAATTGATTTTTTTCATAATTTCATCACCATATGAATTCAAAGTTACTAACTGTCAACTAAACGTTATTCAATTTTCAACTAAAAGTTACTTATCGTCAACTAAACATTATTCAATTGCAAAAATACAATCCTTAGCTTCAAAAAGGTTTACCTTAGTATTTAACAAAAAGTAAGAGGTTAAATTGTAAATAATGAAATAAATTATTTTACTTTAAACTGATGTCAAAACTGATATGTTTAAACTGATATGTTTAAACTGATATGTTTAAACTGATATATTTAAACTGATATGTTTAAACTGATATATTTAAACTGATATGTTTAAACTGATATACTTAAACTGATATGTTTAAACTAATATATTTAAACTGATATGTTTAAATTGATATGTTTAAACTGATCTATTTAAACTGATATGTTTAAACTGATATGATACAACTAATTTGGAAAGCTTGTTCTAATGTAATCTTATTTTACCCTAATGTAAAATTCATAAATCAAAGTTGATTTTAAATATTTTGAATTTCATGCAGTCCATACAGTAGAAAATTCTAGGGGATATTTGCTTATTTTTAAAAATTTTAAACAATGCAAATAACAACAATCATTTTCTCAATTTAAAAAAAAAAAGATAATAAGTAACATAAACTTTTTATATTAAAAAACTTTTGATTTAAATTAAAAACACTTGATGTATATATTTAAAATAAAAATATGTAATCTAAATGTATTATTATAAAAGATTGTAATCTAAATGTATTATTATAAAAAAAACACCTCATGCACCGGCCATAAAGATCTTCTAAGAGGCATATCTTCTTTCCATGGAAGTGAATCCAATGACAATGTGCAATATATATGTGAACCTTTTGGCAAAGGTGGTAATCTTGTGCATTCTACAATTTCAATATCAAGTTTTCCAACAGTTATCAAACTGTTGTGATAATATATCTAAATATAATAAATAATTAGTCTAAATATAATAAGTAATCAATCTAAATTAATAAGTAATCAATTTAAATATAATAAATAATAAATCTAAATATAATAAAAAATTAATATAAATATAATAAATAATTAATCTAAATATAATTTAAAAATCCTCAACTTAATTATATCATATAAAGTTTTTTTTTTTAAATCTAACCAAATATTTTTAAATAAAAAGTGTTTAAAATAATAATAAATCAAAAATACCAAATTGTATTTATATAAAAAAATAAACAACAAAATACATATTTCCTTTGGTAATATACTAAAACCTCATTTTTTCCATCTTGTGGTTTCTCTTGAACAAAAAAGGGTTTGTAGCGTACTTTGTAGTTGGGAAGCGTGTGCTTCTTTTTTATAGATTTTCGTATTTGATTGCTGATAAACGTTGTAAGCTTTGGTAAATTTTTTCCCTCAAAATCAGACTCAACTTTTAAATCCATCAAAGGATCCTTTAAAATAAACAAAAAATATTTATAAAACTTACCCTGTATATATATATATATATATATATATATATATATATATATATATATATATATATATATATATATATATATATATATATATACATATATATATATATATATACACACACACAAAAAAAAACATGTTTTAATGAATTATTTTGAAAAAACTTGAAAATATTGACTTTTTTATTATCACCTTAAAAACAATAGTTTTTAGGCAATAATATCTGAAAAAAAAACATTTTTAAGTAAATTGATAATTATTTTTGAAGTTTTTATATCATTTCGCTTCTTTTGAGTACCAGGTTGACATACTTTAAAAAAACTTTTTTTTTCAAAACATCAGGGACCTGTCAAATATTTAAGGGTCTTGAGGCACCCCTAAAAATATTTTTTATACAAAAAAATTTTAAACCTAGTGTTTTTGTATTATATAGAACACATTTAGTTAAGAGCAGGAGACTATTTTAAAAAAAGTTGTTTTTTGAATCACCTTAATATATATATATATATATATATATATATATATATATATATATATATATATATATATATATATATATATATATATATATACATATATATATATATATATATATATATATATATATATATATATATATATATTATATATATATATATATATATATATATATATATATATATATATATATATATATATATATATATATAAAATATATATAAAATATAAAAATTATGTTAGTGTATTCTACAAATAGAGTGCTCAGCGTTCTTATAGAACGAAGCAATAATAATTGAGTAAAAAAACTCATCTAATTTTTTCCTTCAAAAACTTGTTTCTCCATCAGTAGGTTTATCAGGAAGAATCTTTCTGATGAAACTACTGATGGAGAAACAAGTTGTTAAAGAAAAAATTAGATAAGTGTTATTACTAACTTATTTGTATCATATTAAGCGTATTTGTATAATATTGTCATATTAAGCGTATTTGTATCATATTGTTATCATATTTAATTAAAAAATTCTGAAATATTTATATTTACATTTGATTAAAATGTATTTGCAGTTCATGAAGATTATCCTAGCCAGTGATTTTTTGAGAAAATACCAAGAGGTTCATTGATTTTTTATTTTATTTTTCATTTTTAACATTAAAATAAATTAAAAACTTGTTTTTAAGGAATATTTGTTAGAAGACTTGTTTTTTTTTTCTATTTAATAGACCATTTTATTGGTCTTGCTATGAAAAAATCTTTATAGTTTTTTAACCTAAATTGTAAACATTTGTATTTACTTGGAAAAGGCCATTCACATATATTTATTTATTTAATTGCTGCAGTGAGCAAATGCTCATCGAGTGGTAATCCACTTTAGCAGCAAGTTTAAAAACTACAATTTGAAATTTTTATTCACATAATAAAGTTCATCAAAATAAAGTTTAACACTGACTTATTAAGTTTGACATCAAACAGCAAATTGTTCCAAATTGGAATAATACAATTGGAAAAAAAATTTCTTCTACTTGAGTATCTTCAGGTCTCAGAACTATATCTATGATTGTGGATATAGTCACGAAAACTTCCAGCTGGTCTAGTTGGTCGACAAAAGTTTCTTAGGGAAGATACTGTATTTAGCAGATAAGAATTATTAAGACATTTAAAAAAGTTAATTAAATCGCTTCTTTCTCTTCTCATAGATAAGGTTGTTATTTTAAGTTTATTTAATCTTTCCTCATAAAGAAGCTCTGAATATCCTTTTTATTTAATGAGTCTTGTTGCTCTATGTTGTACTCCTTCAATAAGATTAATGTCTTTTTTTAAAAATGGATTCCAAATAGAACACGCATATTCTAGATGAGAGCGTACTAGTGAAACATAACATTTTAATTATATCAGCATTAAAAAATGAAGTTGTGTGTCAGATAAGACCTAAAATTCTATTTGCTTTAGAAACACAATAAGATGATGACCATATTTTCAGATTGTTTTTAAACATGATACCAAGATCGTTTACACAATCCACACTGAATTTATAATCAGAAATATAATATTTATTGATATTTTTATTTAAAAATTACTTTTATTGACATGGATTATTTTACATTTTTCTATATTTAGTTGCGTTCTCCAGTCATTGTACCAATTAAAAATAGACTTTATGTCATCCTGTAGATCATTATTACTGTTATCACGGATTATGTGGAAAACTTGGCAATCATCAGCATAGAGCTTGCATTTATTTTTTAGTTTATTTGGAAGATCATTGATATAAATTAAAAACAAAATTGGTCCCAGAACAGAGCCTTGCGATACACCACTTAAAACATTAAGCCATGTAGAAGCAATGTCTTCAAGAACAACTCTTTATCTTCTATTTGATAAAAAAGACTCTATCCATTTAAGAATGAATCCCTTTATACCGTAGATTTCAATTTTTAACAAAAGTTTTCTATGGTGGACTATGGTGGTCAAATGCTTTAGAAAAGTCAGTGAAAAGTATATCAATAGGATTATCTTGATCCACTTCTAGAGTTACAATATCTTGGCTTTCAAGTAAACTTGTAAAGCAAGATTTACTTGTTAAAAAACTATGCTGACTCTTATTTATAAAATTATTGTCTAAAAGATACCAAATGATGTTTTTTTTAATATCCTTTCTAAAATTTTGTATATAACTGAAGAAAGAGAAACAGGTCTATAGTTGGAGGGATCAAGCTTATCACGATTTTTGAAAATCGGAACTATGTTTGAGTCTTTCCAAGTTTTAGGTACCACTCCCGATTTAAGTGATAGCCTAAAAATATGTCCAATAGAAATACTCAGACTTAAAGAACAGATACTCAGTACATACGGATGGACTTCATCGATCCCACAGGATTTGTATTTATCCAATTATTTTAACTGTACAAGAGTTTCTTTTAAACTGATAATTTTGTTCATATCATTTTCACAGTGAACATGAGTAACAGGTAAGGCTTTGTTATGGTCTTCAGTAAATACAGATCGAAAATATTTGTTTAACAAATTGGTAACATCTAAAAGGTCATCACTCCCAGTTTCATCTGGAAACCTAAAAGTGCGAATTCCTTCTTTATACTTTTGTTTGCTGTTCACGTATGCATAAAATCTCTTAGGATCTGATTTAGAATTTTTAGCTAAGCCATGTTCAAATTGTTTCAAAGCTAATTCAATAGAATGTTGAGTCTTAGTTTTACTAAGTTTATATTTTGCTAATAATTTGAGATTATTTCTGTCTGATGCAATAAATTTAGATCATATTTTTTTTTTCATTAATTAGTTTCTTTATATCAGATGTAATCCAAGCTTGTTGTGGTTGTCTGTATTTTTTAGAACAAGGGATAAACTTGTTACAGGCTACCGTATATAATTCTAAAAATTTGTCATAACACTGATTGATATTTCTATCCCCAAATACTGCATTCCAATTAATTGAATTAAAATATTTTATCATTTTAACATAATCACTTTTTTTATATATATAACTTGAAATAAATTTTTATTGATATTATTAGCCATTATCAAGGTCCAAGTAGTTCAAAGTCAATATCATATGTGCGTGGAAAATTTTACATAAAGGAGGATTTGATGTGAGTTCAGAAACATGATTTGAATTTTCTGTAAATATAAGATCAAGAATGTTAGTTGAATCTTTATTTGTCTTTTGAAATGTTGAAAAAAATACATTTTGTGACAGTCGTTTATAGTTTCCGTGAAATTAATTTCTGAACTATTTAGATTTGAACATGTACCAATAAAGATATCATCAACCCATTTTATATTCAGATAGTTACAGTCTCTAGTCAACAAAAAACCTGTAAAAGCACTATTATCATAAACATGTTTAGCCTTTAGAATATATTTACAAAGGTTTGAATTGTTTGCTGAGTTAGGAGGTCTGTAGACACAACCAACTAATATTTTTTCAAACTCATATTTGAGTCCACACCATATTTGTTCTATATCTGGATAACATAATTCAATAGAGTTAATTTCAAAAGTTATAAGATCTTTTCGTGTATAGATACAAACTCCACCACCTTGTCCGTTAATTCTGTCCTTTCTAAATATAATATAAACATCCAAATTTGACACTGATTCGGCATTAAACCACATTTCTGTCACCGTTATAACATCTATTTTATTTAACTGTGCTAATACTGAAAATTCATTAAGTTTTTTATTTAATGAGGTTGCGTTTGTATATAATATTTTCTTATTGTTGTTTGTTAATCTTGACAGACTGTTGCCTCCAAATCTTATAAACAAAGGTATCTGTATTTTGTAGAGTTATTTTTACTTTTTTTTTTTCTGCCTTAAAGGATAATCAAAGGCTCTTTCGGCTAATTATCTGGATTAATGAATATATCCTTCAAATTTTCATATGAGCCTAATTCTTTTGCTGCCGCAAGTATAGATGTTGTTTTTGCCTCAAATGCCTTAATTCTTTTTAATAACTTTTCTATTATTTCTTGTTGTGCACGCATTACGGTTAGATCAATAGTTTTTAAAGTTTTATTTCCTTTTAATTTGTCCATTGTTGTTAAAATTAATTGATAATATTAACATTACAAACAGTTTTAACGATGTACACTTACGTAAATAACAAGTTTTAGTTTCAATAATGTAAATTTTCTAACTTAATTTTTAAGTTCCCATATGAAAGATGTATTTTGTTATTTTTTCCACCACCAAAAACAATAAAACAAAAGAAAAAAATGTATATTAAGTTAAATCTATAATGTAATTGAAAAAACTTCAAACAAGAGCGATAAAACCAAACATTCACGACTTCTAATATTTCTTGTATATATTGAGCATCTAAATCAAAAACACATCTTATCATTTCAATTGTGGAAGTTTTATCTGTATTTGAATTTGTATTTGGAAATCTAGAATCAACCTACTGGTTTAGTATTTGATCAACGTGACCCCAACCCTGGTTAGTTAAAAAATGGCTCTTAGTTTGTTTTAAAAGTCCACATAAATCAAAAAGACCATTAAAAATAAGACCATACAAATCAAAAAGACCATTAAAAATAAAACCACATAAATTTAAAAGACCATTAAAAATAACACCATGCAAATCAAAAAGACCATTAAAAATAAAACCACATAATTCAAAAAGACAATTAAAAATAAGACCACATAAATCAAAAACTATTAAAAAAATTAAGACAGCTAGCTAAATTTATCATTTTTAATACAAATAAAAAATAACTTTAAATTTAAACTTTGCTGCTTTTTTTAAAAACCACAAAAACAACTTTATACTAAAAACTCCTCTTTTTTTTTTTAATTCAAAAGGTTTTTTGTTTTTTTTTTAACTTTTTATATTATTTTAAATTGATTTTATTGTTTAATGGGGTCTACAAACACAAAGCTTTCAGAGCCTATAAAACTATTGCAAATGATTGAAACGCAATACAAGATGAGTCTATCTTGATTTATATTTCACTTTTAATAAGACATTGTTACAAGGTAAATAGAAATTTTTGTATCTCTTTCAGTAAACTTAATAATAATTTAATAAAACTTAGCTTTGAACTAAAGCAATGGTTGTATCTGAACAACAACTTATTGCCAACAAATATTTAATTTAACAATAAAATCTGTTTCAATTATGATGCATTTTATTGTGTTACACTACATATAAAATATGATAGCCACTTATGCTGATACCACACCTGACAATGTCATTGTCACATTTTAACTTTGTTATATTATACACATTAAAATAATTCAATTTGGATAACTTCAATATGTATTTCACTAGATTTAATTTGATTCATTATTTTCTAGTCGCAAATGATTCAATGAATTTGTCATTGATGGCAAAGCAATTTTAAGAGCTTGAGTTGACTGTTATTAAAAAATATTTTGTTTTTATTAAAACTTTTGTTTATTTGTTTATACTTCATTTATTTGTTTTCATTTAGTTAAAACCAAATAAATTGTAATAACGCTTAAAGAAAGTAAAAATATCTTAAATTGAGAACTTTTTAAAACTTTACATCTATCTAAACATGTTTAATGTTTGTAATGCTGTAACACACTTTCAATACCAAAACGTAGTTGAAATTTTGAAAAAAGAAACACGTTTAAAAAATAATTTAAATTTTAAACATAAATAACACTAATCTAATCACTATTTTTCTATGTTATTATTATATTTTGTTAAGTTATAATATATGTTTTGCTAAGTTATTATATATGTTTTAACATATTTAAAAAAGGAATACTAGATTTTGGAAATAAGTGTTCAAAACCTAAACAAAATTGTTAGTATTTCTGCATGTTTATCTCTGTGTTTTCTATAATAACAAATTATGAATTGTAAATATGCATCTGATACATAAACCCATTCATTTTTAAAGCACATAAATTAAAAAAAAAAAATAACCATATTTATACAAACAATACTTCATAAAAACTAAATGACCAATGAGTGCAAGGATTTCTTGTAAGCTGCAATCTTAATCTTCCAGTCAATGAGTTTAACTCGACAGTAAAATGAGCTGACTTTCCAAATATTAAACCTACATCTAAAGAGATTATAAACCCACCAGAATACTCAACATCTACAGCTATGTCCAACTCTTTGGGTACTTGGGTCGGGCTGCTTGTATCAACTTTCATAACTGTTGCATCTAAAATTGAAGACAACTATAAATGTAATGCTTTACAAAATAAACAATGGTTTCAAAAGATACACACAAGTATAAAAAAATCATAAGGGTGGCCAGACAAATTTTGGGATATTAAATTATAGCCTTTAGCAAGGAATGTGGTGACTAGCCAGTTAAGCATTTAAACCTATATAAAACAAAGAAACAAGTAAAGCACCATCCTTATAAATAAGGCATTAGATAAAATACTTGACATTAAATATCCATAATTACATGAAACTCTTTCAAATTTTAGTCATTTCATTTAAATGTCTTAACTGTTTAAGCATTATACAAAATTAGTCATTTAACTGTCTTAACTGTTTAAGCATTAAACGAAATTATTAATTTTATAATTACTTAATATCTATAAAGCATTATAAATGTAGCTCAATAAAAGTGTTCAAATTTACATTTAACAAATAACTCATTTTTATGCTTCATTAAACAATTATTATTGAAATATAAAAAAAAGTTAATTTTTTATCTATATAAATATGCTTTATTATTGATTCCATAAAAAACTCAACAAAAAATTAACTTATTACCTCAACATTATATTTAAAAAGATAAATTGCTCAAATCTTAACAAAAAGATCTACTAAAGAATCCATAAACGTCTGCCATTTTAATATAAACAAAAGCATTTAAGCAAAACTTGTTTCATCAAATCAGACAATACATGTACAAACCTCTAAATTAGGGCCAACATTCAGCAATGCCAACCTAACTGCCACCTTAAGCATTTGAGGTCAGCAATTTATTGCCAACGTTTTTTTTTTCCAAATTTAAAGGCTGCATAATTAGTTATTACGTAATTGATATGCATTTGATTAAGTAATTGTGTCTCTTAAAGATATAACTACTTTATTTGACTAACTGCCATGATTTGACTTGTCGATTGTTACTATTTTAGACCAAATAACAATTTTGGTATTTTTTAGTTTGGTAAATTTTTTTAAATTAAACTATTTTTAATTAAAAATGACAAAATTGTGATTAAAATAAATAAAAGCTTACAAAATATTTTTTGTTCTTGTTTTTTTCGTTTGACATAATAGCATAGAGAATCAATAAAAAAATTGAATCTTAGCATTATTGTACATCAATAATGTTAAGATCAAAATTTTTAATACAGTTTATTACAAAAGAAACTACATTAAAAATCATAAAGAAGACTTTATAAACTTGAATTAACAAACACAGAAAATAGTGTTAACCAGTGTTAAGCTGCTAACATAAACAGGAGTCATTAATACCTTATCTGACCATGCTTATAATATTTTGTTTTGACAACTTGACTCATGGTTCTGTTTCCATGGTTCTTTGCATGTTTAAATAACTTGTATTTTTTGAAAATCTGCTGAAAAAACCAACTAAACCGAGAGAAAATTAAAAACAAACAAACTATAATGATAAAATAAATAAAAGATAAACCATAAAAAATAAAACCATAAAAATATATTTTTCAAACTTAAAAGTGCTTCAATTAATAGTACAAAGCTAATAATCATCAACAAAATGTCAGCTTTGTATGCTTCAGCTAATGTAGAAGATGTAATGTTCTTTATTTGTGGCATGATTGTTAGTTTGGTATTGGGTGCAAGTTCTAATACTTTTGACAGATTATTTTTTTGTTTATATTTTTTCGAAGTTTTAAAATAATTAAGTTTAGAGGTAATTAAGTTTGGATTAAATAACTTTAAAACTTCCATTTTTTTCAAAGTCTATTGAATAAAACATGTTTAAAAAAAAAGACATATTTTTAGTTTTTTGTTGATGCATTTATATAAGATATATTTATATATCTTTTTATTAACTTATTTTCTCATTCGTCAAAATTTATTTTTATTTATTCAGTTTATGAACTGTTTTTTTAATAATTTTTCTTGAGTTTAGTTTAGTTTGATCAACGCATTTTTAAAACATACAAATTATCAAAATGAAGTTTTCAAAACAAAAAATTACATGCATGGTCAGACATGCGACTGCACGCCTCTCTTTAGTGTAAAGTTTCTGAACTAAACTTGTCACAACTGCCACTAAAATTTAAAATTTGCTTAAGAATTTGATGTTCATTGTAAAAAATTACATCTTGGGCATTTGGCCAGCTCTTCTTTGTTCTTCCATAAGGTAGTCATAATATTAACTTTAAATTCACATAAAGTCATATCAAAAACTCATAAAGATACTTGATCCATAGCTGTGTAGCACAATTTAAAAACTTTATCAATCTTTCTCATTACAGTAAAGACTTTGATTGAATTGCAGAATGGATTTGTTTTTTTTGCTGCCAGCTTTGGTAAATCACCCTGTGATGGTAGCAGTTAAAAGAGCAGTGATTCAAGAATATTTAAACAAGTAACTCATGGGCAGATTATGGATGTTAATCTAATATACATAGATGAGATTTTAACTTAATCCTGGAAATTTCTTTCTATGAAAATCACAGAAAACTATTTTTATAAAAACTCTAGAAAATCTCGGAAAAATTTACTATAGTATTAATAAAAATTTACTATATCTATCTGGAACAACAAATCATCAAAGGTATGTGGGTAAATTCTGAAACATTGGTAAAAAGATAAACAACGAAACTAAAAACTACTGAATAATATGTTTTTCTAAAATTCTCTAAAATTAAATTTAATATCTCAGTTGTAAACTAACTGGAAAGTCTGATAATTTATTTACTTTTTAAATATAAAATGTCAGACAATGCACAATGGAGTATTTAAGGTCAAAAGTTGATCAAAATTATTTTTTAGCTTTGATCAATTAGATAAACAATAACAAGCAGTTTGAAATCCTAATATTTTTTTTTTTTTTTTTTTTTTTTTAACATCTTCACTTCCAACAAGGCTGCAAGCAACCACTATAAGAGTTGGAAGTTACTGGAAGAGAAAAGACTAAATCCGTAGAGCAAGATAACGATTGACTGACGACTTAAAAGATTGCAAATTATATGAATCAGGAAAGCAAGATGAAGGAAGCGAATTCCAAAGAACTGATGTTCGAGGAAAAAAACTAGAAGAATAAGAGTTTTTGAAGCACTTAGGAACAGTCACAGAAAAAGGATGAGACTTAATTGAATGGCGAGTAACACGAGAATGAATTTTAGTAGATGGCACAAGGGACGCTAGCTCTTTAGAGCAGTGCCCATTATAGTATTTGTAGAAAAGAGAAAGAGAAGCAACATTACGACGATGTGACAAAGGTTGGAGATTGGCTGCCAGAGCAGGTCCAACTATGTTTACAATTCGTTTTTGCACCTTGTCTAAAAGAGAAAGAGCATCATTAGAAGATACCATTAAAAATAATTAGGTAGATACCATTAAAAATAAATATACCATTAAAAATAATTAGGCAAGTTTTTTTTTACCCAAAACACACTTTTCTATACAAAACATACAAAAAGAAGTTTAAACAAAAAAACTAAACAACAATATAAAGTGTTAAACTTCAATTAAAACATTAAATGTCCAAAGAAAAAAATGTAAAAAAAAAAAAAAAAGTGATGCTAATACAAACAATATAAACAAAAGGAAATATACAAATACGGTTACTATAAAAGTGAAAAAACCCAACTATTAAGGTAAAAAAAACAACATGAAATAACCAAATATACAAAAAACAATAAAAAATAAACATTCTGATTCATTTTTGCTAGATGTCTCCTCTTCGTATTGTTGTAGTTCGCTCAATGTTTCTGGTAGTAAGAGCTCAAATGCCTCACTGGATATAGAATTTCTTTTATTCTTAAACCTCTTTCTGGCACTTTTCAACAAAAGGTCAGAACTTAACAGAAGTCTGATTAGAATATCCCTATTGCAAATTTCTCTCGAAAGCTTCCTCGAGAAATTCTGTCTATAATCACAAAAGTGCTTGTTTCGAGCCTCTGCAGCCTCTTCTTATAATTGACCGATAGGCAATTTAACTTAGTCAATTATTGTGGCATCGTGTCTTAATATCTTGTGCATTGTAGGAGTCATTGGGTACCATCCATAAATTTCAACATAAAGCTCTGCTGTCAGTTCTGTAAACTTTTCAAATTTTTTGACATCTATTTTATGTCCACTTGACAAAGTTTCTAAAATGATACTACAATTTTTAATAAATCTAATGTCAATTCCTGTGATGCAGGATGAGGTTTGAGGATCTGAGAAAAATCTTCTTAATGTATTGCCATCATTAGTATTCCCGAAACCTGCCTTTGGAATATCCACCAACAGCCGCATTTTCTCTTTGAATTTGTTTTGCATGTTTGTTTTTTTTGTTTCTGCAACAATTATTTTATCATCTTATATTCTTGCTTGCCATTTTTTTATGGGAATGTGGTATAAATGTAGTAAAGATTCGAAAAATCAAATCCTTGCATGTAATATCGATAAACCAAATTTAAAGTTTTTTATTCTTAAATTATTCAAGTCTATTGACGTTAGTCCATATACATTGCACCTCATAGTATATGCTGTGTTATTTGCAGCATTGTATACTTTTGCATCAACCATTGTAAATGTCAAAGTATGCTTTATGTATATAATACCACCAAAAGGTTTTGGTATTTCAGTTTTTCTTAAGCTTTTAATTTGATCTTCTACATAGCAGATTTCTGCATTTGTTATGTCTTTAGTTTCATGGATAAAACAAATTCGTATTGGACGAGAATATCTTGTAGAAGAGGGCACTGGGTTTTGCCAAATAATCTTCTAGCCACCAGTATGGCATATAAGCCGTAGAGGCACAAATGAACTTTGAAAGATGTTTGAGCTACTATCTAAACTATTTTGGAATTTTTGTTTAAATGTTTGCTGCTGTGAGTCATCAAACCCCATTTTGATATTATCTCCAAATTGCTTTGTTTTTCTTCATTTAATGTTTCCAAAACTTCATTTAAATATTCACACAAACGTCTAGATGTATGGTCTAGAATATTTTGTAGTTTAATATCACAACACGTTTCTGTAACTGTCATTGATGCTTGTGGCAGATAAAATTGTGTTTTTGATTCTTTCAAAAGCAAATAACATGGATAAATATTTTTGTTGGCCGCATGAATTATTTCATATTGTCTCCTTGTAATATCGACTTCCACACATATTGATAATGCTTCTGATGGTGTGTGTTTTTTTATAACATTATTCTGAAGGAAATTAAAGTTTTCTTTATATTTTTGAGCCTTTTCTCGTGAACAGCTAATATCTTTCATTATTCTAGACACGTCACAATGTCCTGCATCATGCTGACTCATTTGGGCATCATAGGTTAGTTGCTTAGAAGATATTAGCTCTCTCAAAGCTTTTGTTCTATGTCTCTTGCTTGGCAAACTCAACACTTTGAAATCTTTAGATGGTCGATCTGGCCTTTTTCTTATACAGGCGGATAGACTTATGATTGCATTGAGCCATAGTTCATTTTTCTTCAAAAAGCATTTCTCCATGTTATTAGAAGCTATCCATTTTTGTTTAAAATGAAACTTGAAAGTTTTTAATGCTTTTCTAAGTGAACATTGTTCATTTTAAGTACATTTTGTAATAATTTTGAGGTGATTTTCTAAAAATACAAATTTATCATCAATTTTTTTCATTGGGCATTGTTTCAAAACATGGTAGAGTTGTTTTCTAGTCATCTCTTTCATCATTGGTTGGGATTCGGAAAAAAAAAATGAAATAAGTTTTTATTTAAAAAAAATATATATATATTTTTGTTGTATCATTTAATTAAAATTAAATTTAAAAAAATGGAAGATATATGAGACTTTTTTTTTCAAAAATAGTGACGAGAATAACTAATGTTTAAGTTACAATCTTAGCTAAACTCGGATTAACTTATATACGAAAATAATTTTGAATATAGTATTTACAAAAAAAATCTAACATTTTTAGTCTCAAATGTATATGAACAAAAATATCACTTTATTAAGTAAAATAAAGAAACTATACATTTTATTTGTATGTACATACCTTCTTCTTCAACATTCATCATGATTTGTTAAAGATTTTATTGCATAAAAGATGTGTTTGAGTGGAAGCGTAAAAAACAAATACAAACAGCTCACGCAAAGTCCGAGTTTTAACTACTGTTATACCTAGAAAGGGGTGTGGGCAACACTAAAATTGTAATTTAGTGATAAAGCCATTATAAAGCTTTCATAATATATAGTTATTGTTGTACTTTTATAAAATTCTCATAATCGACTTTTACCTTAAAATATTCCACTGTGCAATCGTTCAACAATTTTTATTCTTATAATTTTCTGTTGCAAAATACTCATCAGCTTTTTTTCTACACTTTTTTGCATGATTAATAATAGATTCTTAAACTTCTAGATTCTTACTAATAAAACTAAATTCTTAAACTATTTTGCACTAAAACTAGATTCTTAAACTATTTTTTACTGTTCATGTGAGACAATTTTTTTTCAAATTGAATTTATATTAAAAAAAAACCTCTTCAACTTTCCTGTTTTTCCATTCCATTTTTTAATATAGTGTTTGCTTGCAGTTTGCAAATGATCACAGATGTTTTTGTTCAATTAAGTATCCTAGCGCTGTGGTCTTGTTTGCTAATAACTGATACTTAATATATTGCTGAGTAGATTAAAGTATCAAGGCGGTTTGTCTTTTTGTTAACTTTAGTGTCATAATGCTGAATGATTGCTTATTATTTCTATCAACAAATATGGGTGGAAGTGCTATATATTGGAAAATATTTTTTAAGCATATTTTTTGAATTACATAAACCTTGGAAGTTTCAATTTTTATGTAATTCAAATCCTGATTCTTTTTTTTATCTTTCAGGTTTAAAAATTTAAACTTTGTTCCTGTTATATTTTTTATCATCTTTGCCTTAATAAAACAATTTAAAATTGTTTTTACCAGCTCAATTTGCTAGTCATAAATTTGATAGACTAGCAGTTCTATCTGTTCAAAAGTTAAAAATAATTATTTAAAAATAGGGAGAATTTCAACGTACATATAAATCAAAGTAATGTTTCATTACGTCGGAAAAATAAACTTTTAACAACTCTTCTTTCTGCACATTTTTTAGTCAGATTTTTCTGATGCATTTTACATTTTATTTTTTTCTATTAGTTTTTACTTTTATAAGTAATAGATTCTTTAAAATTTTGTCATTTTCATCTTTATACAGAGAGATGTCCTGTATTGGTAACCAGGAAGAATAATAAAGGTGAAAGCAGGCATCATCTAAAGCATACTAACTACAGATAAGAAACTACCAATAAGAAACCCTTTGCTTTGTATTGAGTGTTGTATGTGACACCTGTGATTTGAAAAAAAAAATCCAGAAACTTACATAGATCTGGACTAAACTTAAATTCAATCTAGATATCATCCAGAAAGTTATTAACTACCGTGCCGAAACTAGATTATATCGTCAAAACTGTGCAGCAATTAAGTCAATCGAAGTTATACAATTGTCTTTTTTTACTAATTAAAAAAAAAAAAAAACAGATACATGTATATTGCCATATGGCACTCTGGATAACATGCATATTGACAGTACTTTCTATTGAAGTAACTTTTTACAAATACTTAATTTTTTTTTCTTGATAGCAATAATTGACAACAAAAACCTTTGTAAACTTTTAAAATGGAATTTATATCAATTAACTTGTTACGAAAAGAAATTTTTAATGTTTAAAAGTTGATTTGAATTGAATTAAAACAAAACAAAAAAATTATTGCAATAATTGATCTTGTGAAAGTTTCAGTTAAAGAAAACATATTTATTTAAATGCAAACACTATCACAATTTAAAATTGTATATATTTTTTTTACAAATCAATAGCAAAAACATCCTAAAATTTCTGGAAATTTAAAGGAGTTTTAAGTGAATTTCTGGAATTCCCAGAAAAAACTTATCTATGAATATGTTTTTTTTGAATAAACAAGATAAAAAATAATTTTTTTTTTTTTTTTTTTTTTATATAAAACATCAGTTTGTGAAAATATATTTTCAACCCCATATACAAATAACTTACTTTTGAAAACAGGTAAAGAATCTCCAAGATAATAATCACAAACAGAAATCTGATCAATAAGTTTACCAGCAGCTTTATTCAGCAGCATTTCTTTAAACTCCATATTCATTTTACAAATAAAAAAGTTTCTAGTTTTGGGTGAATCTCTCCATTCTTTCCAAAGAAACTGAAATATTAAATTTAGAAACATGCATGATTCTTTTTCTGTCGCTCCTTCTTTACTGCAAAACTCAGCTATACTCTAAAAAGAAAATACAGACTTAATAGAGAAAAGCAACTTTTTTTAAAATATTTCAACTGGTTTAATGGTTAATAATTTGGTTTTTTCAGCACATTTTTTAAAACACACAATTTATCAATATGCAAGAAACCATGGTCAAGTCATAAAAAAAAAATTTGTATGCATTTTTAGTATATTCTTGATTACATAAAATCAAAAAATTGAATAAAATATTTTTAGCACATTTTAGCAAAGAATACCAACTAAATAATTTAGATTAAAGTTTTTGTTGAACTTTTATCTTTTTTTCATTTTTATTTTTATGTCCTAGTTTTTTGTTTGTTTTTTTAGTTTTTTAAAATATAAAAACACATATACACAAATGCAACAAATAAAAACAACTGAATTACCAGAGCAAACAATTAACAAAATATAACTATTATATAATAAACTACAACTCAAATTTTTTATTTTACCCTGGGATTGGAAACAGGTTTTTGTTGAGGAACAAGTTTAGGATCTTTATTAGGCTGCACTTGAAACCATTTATATACAACAAATATTTCTACAATCAGAATGAAGGCTATTCCACCAAGAAAACCTGCCAATAACACTAACATCCTCTAATCATAAAAATCGTAAATCATCATTTGATATAATAGATTTTACTTTTACACTAGAAAAAATAATTTAACAAAATATTTTTTTAAATTAATTCTATAATATAATTTTTAAAACCACTATATACAATATATAAATCATAATTTATCACTTATACCTCACAACAAATATATCATTATCAACTATTATTAAATCATATATAGATAACAAGATAGATAAATAACAATATATTTCGTGTTAACAAGATGTTACAATAAAACACAGGTCATTGCAAATGAGTGATTCACTAATAAAGTGCAATGCCCTAAATAAGATAAATTAAAAATTTATATACAGTAAATAAGTAAATAAAAAATAATAATAACAACATGAAATAAGTTAACCACATGATAAAAGTAAGTTAAGTATGTAAGTTAAAGTTAGTAAGTTAACCACACAATACAGTAGAGTTTTATAAATATTTATTTAGTAACACCAATAAAACAGACTTTATTAAAAATATATATAAAAAGGTAAAGAGTTAAAAAGGTAAAGAGTAAAGTTAAGCTTAACTTTTTAGGTAGAAACGGTGGAGCTACTTAAGAACAGATTCTTGAGCCTAAGGATGGGATCTGATTTTATGGTGTTCCAAGGAAGGGAGTTTCAAGATAGGATACACTGGTATGTAATAGAATTAATTCCATGTTTACTTGTCTGTTTTAGTGGGATAGTTAAGCTATTGTATGTGACTGATCTTAGGTTATACCCACATGTTGTTCTATTAACAAAGTTGTTGTGAAGTAATTGTGTTCTATTAACAAAGTTGTTGTGAAGTAGTTGTGTTCTATTAACAAAGTAGTTGTGAAGTAGTTGTGTTCTATTAATAAAGTAGTTGTAATTTATTACAAATCCCCAAGAAGTATTTTATACTTTCAAAATTCCTCCGGCATTAGACTAGATGAATTAAAATGATGTTATGATAGAAAACCCAAGACTAGTATTAGTTTATTAAATAGACTAATAGATGATATAATGTCTCAGGTTTAAAAAACATATTTATATATGACCATGATATATATATATATATATATATATATATACTTGCATATATTCCAATATATATATATATATGTATATATATATATATATATATATATATATATATATATATGTATATATATATATATGTATATATATATATATATATATATATATATATATATATATATTTGCATACAAAAGTTTGTATGCGAGAGGTTCAGAGTTCGACTCCTACAACGTCCCTGGAAGTACCGCGCTCAACTTAATTTTTCCATGCAGCGGCCTTGCTTGTCAAGGTTCGTGTTTCAGAGTTAAAAAGCTGAGAGAGGGTTGTACCAAAATTTACAAAAAAAAAAAAAAAAAAAAAGAGTAGCCTTCTTGAAGGTAGTGGCCACCTCGGGCCTTGGGGAGGTGAATAATTAATATATATATATATATAAATAAATATATATATATATATATATATATATATATATATATATATATATATATATATATATATATATATATATATATATATATATATATGATGGATACACTTAGATCCGATATAATATTAAGTTTCTATTAATTTAATACATTTTTAATTTATTAATTATAAACGCAAAAAAACAAACATTTTATTCCACCCTACTATTACGTTGGGGTCCAAACCGACCCTACGTGTAATTTGTTTTTGAATTATATATTTATGTAGTCAGTATTTTTTTTCAAAATTTCATGTAGCTGTTAAATATAACAAGATGTACAAAGACTCAAAAAATTGCTTTTGGACATTGCTTCCTTTTTTAGTTATTTTCAAAATTTACATCTATGATGTTAGGGTCCATATGGACCCCAACATATTTTTTCTTATAAAATGTACAGTTTTTCAAAACTAATGCTTTTAAAAACTGTTTTTATTTTTTTTAGTTGTAACTCATTCAATCTTTTTTATTGATATTTTCAGATAAATTAGATAAATTTAGATTTCATAACAAATATTAGAATTTATGGCTTAAAAAAAAAGAGTTTGTATTAGATACACTGCTGAACAGGCTATAGACACACTGCTGAACAAGCGATGCAAACAATAACTATTGTTTGCATCACTTAATAAAGATCAATCAAGTTAATATCTGGTGATAATAATGAGGAAGAGATTGAAAATACATAATGATATAGCTGAGGAAATAATCTATATTATATATCTATATATTATGTATAAAAAATAATCTATATATTATGTATAAAAAAAGTAATATGTATAAAAATTATGGCAAAAACAAAGGCTAAACTGTTCTAACAAACTTGCATCACAAAATGAAATAGATCATGAAAAAAAACAGGATTTACATCATATGCAATACGTATGACAGAATTGATAAATACTGCTTTTCAACTTTTTTTTACCTCAAAAATCTTTAATATAGTTTTAACTAAATCAAGCAAATAAGGAAAAATTATTTTTAAAGAAAAGTGGGCACCAAAATTTGAGCATAAACTAAATAGGCTTTTAT